GCTCACCCCCTATTACATGGGACTCATAACATAAATAGTGAAAAAGAAAATGAATGAAAGAATTGAATGACAACGGCACGGACAAGAGTCCGTGGAGAATAACAAAACTATTAAAAAAATTAAATAGTGAAAGTGGGTGTTACATTGTACGATGACATTGAGTGCCGTAATGTGCACCTCTGTCTACCCCTTCTCATGTACCTATCCTGGCCTAAATAAGCATATACTCGGAATTTATTATAATTCATCTTGTTTAATAAGTAGAAACTTCGATATAATTAAAACCTGTGGGCTATTGGTTCGTCTATGAAAGAGTTTACCACAATATCAATGTGGTTTGAAAAACGCAGTTTCAAATGTATGTTGCTACACAGCCTTTGTTATTGGACATATTCAATCCCTTATTCGACCACAGAATAATACACTGTGACTCAGATCTTACCGATACTGTCGTAAATTGTATGGTCATGACGAGTGACAAAAATATACTCAACATTCACGTGTCCACAAAACAGGCACTTCGCAACAATCACATCTATCAATCAACAAATTCACACAACTACAACCGGAGTTACAGCTAAGTGGTTTTTCCTAAATCAATTTGTTTGCCTTGACCAGTGCATCGGTGCAGCGTCACCATAGTCTCGAGTACGCAGCGGTCATACTGTGCCAGAGTTCAAACGATAGTCTTGATCGAGTAAATTGGTAAATGGGTTGATGTAGCTCGCAGGAAGTAGGGGACAAGTGGAGTGGCCGACTGTGAACATAACTACACTACTTTAATACACGCGAACTGACAATGTACTCGTGCATGAAGAAAGTTTTATGACACTCTGTAGCTGTGCCAGTACATGTGACCTCATGGTCCTTTTATTGGTGCACAATGGTGCCAAACTTACATTGGTCGTAAAGTTTTCTTTTCTTCGCGATTGATCTCGAAGACAGATTTATTTATGGCTGTCTAGTTGCTTAGTACACTTTTTGTAGTTTCGTTTGTGTGTTTCTTGTTTCTGCTTTTAATATAATCTTTGTTTCTGATAAGTTTATTCGATGGGTAACCAGTCTACAAAAGGCTGTCTGTACGTGAATGGCTTTTATATTATTCTTATTTTTCTAATAGGGATAGATTCTGCTTACTAATGGAGTGTAATATACTATTAACTATTTATAAATAAGAAAATTTATATATTGCCATTGTTACATAAAACAATTTCTATATGATTAAAGGAAGGTAACAATTGCTTGACCGGAATCAGAACCGGAATAGAGTCGCTTTTGTTATTCAGTCGGGAATAACTACAACATCAAGATATTATCAAACCATAAATTGCATAATCTTATCTATTAGCATTAATTAAACATCAGAATGTTCAAAACAATCAGTTTGTTTAAAAAAAAACTCTAATGTTTGTAAATAAATATTTACTCTCATTAATAATAATGTAAGTAGGTAGTAGGTACCAAATATTAAATAAAGTAATCAGTAACTTAGCGACTAGATAACTATTTTTGTTATACGGATCATACGGTCATTTAAAATACGATAAAAATTAAGCGATTAGTTCAGACTATAGACCTACGATATTTTTTATTCTTATATTTTATTTATATTCATTCTGTAGTGTCTTTTACTTTTTACTACTTTAAATAAACAATATTGCTTATATACTCGAAACATTTCATTGTTTGCCTTGAACTTATTATCATTATTTTCGGAGTCATATAGGTACTGAATAAACAACTTCAATTAAATAGATACACAACTAAATTATTATTAATGGAAATGAAATTAATAACCAACTAGGTACATACTTAGTGTTGTTATTGTAATTATTTACAAAATTCATTAACTAATATTCCATAGTATTGACAAAGGTCAAAGGCCTTTTGACAGAATGTAGATAAGATGGCGGAAGGCGAATCGATTAAAGTAGTAAAAGAGCCATTGTACAATTTATTGTTTCCCGGGAATTGCACATTGACGACACTTGAGTGCGCTATTTTTTAACGACCGACGTCAACTATCTGTCTACGTATCTATTTACCTACTTATTATACATATATATATGTAGCAATATTTGCTCGATTTTTCATTTGTACCACGATTTTGGTAAGCAGAATTATTATTACGTAGCTATTTTGACAGAAATATTAAGGCTACTTTTTTTTTTCTTCTTTGGCAACCGAGGTTCCAAAACGGTGTTGTCGACTATAGGTACTGCCAGTGTCGAGTAGTGACGGCAGGGGCGATATAGCTTAATTAAATACAGATATACTACAAAAGCATGTAGGTATGTAGGTAGGTTTAGGTAAATTAACTTCCTATTGACATATATATATTACAAACATATTTTTTCCTTTCGCCCTATGTTTTGTATGAGCCATTTACCGCCCTGACTCACAATTAGTAATATAAAATAACCAAATATTAGATTAAATCATCACATTTAGGTATCTACATATTCAAACAAATTATGCCTAACATCCGACATCTCCAGCTAACCAACTACCTAATTGAGATCGGTAAACGGATAAAAACAAATTGCAAAACCAAAATAATATGCAGTAATAATAGAATAAACTTATCTACGTGATCTTAGAAACGATGTTGCAACTGAAGGGAAACTAATTAATTTTATCTTAGTCCTAACAAGCGCCTAGTTAGAGGATAATAAGCAAAAATTTGCCTCGAGGTCGATGGGCCTCAAACAGCTGCAAACACTGCAATCTTTCAATTGTCCTGGCTTAGATCTTGTATAGACATTCACAGAATTACTTCCTAGTGTTTAGTGTGAGTCGAGAACATTGCGAATTCCAGCTTAGACAAGACAAGTGCGTGCTTTCCGCATATTTATTCCGCGTATTTAGGTAAATTATTGTTTTTATTCCAAATTCGTGACTTGTAATGTTTGCTACTAGCAGTAGCTAATTACTACACACGTAGGTACAGTAATATGAAAATCCACTGCGATTGCCATTTTGATATCTTTGTATTCCTCAAATCCATGGAATTTAATGAATAAATACAAAAACGTTCACGATTCTAAATGAATGTTTGCTAGACAGGCAATTTACTGTTTGTTAAAAAAGAATGCGGTGTAATTCACGAAGAACCTATTCGATTGTTACATTAGACATGTCACTACTTAACTATTCTCGCCCGGGTGAGGCGAGAGGGAGTGTCAGACTCTCACTGACTAAGAACCAACCCGTTCCTACTCCTGCACTTTGAGCCGGAGCCCCGGCAACCCGTTAAGTCCTTCGCGGCTCCGTATCGGCATCAGCCCTATTGGGTCCTATCTGTGGTGGCCTAATGACTCGTTGAGGCGCACGGAACGCGACGCATCTTACGCTCTGGTAAATCATTAAGGCTAAATGATTAACTTTTATTCGGTGATGATCAATTCAAGATTAAGAAAGGAGGTACACTAACAACTTCACTTGATTACGTTGCGAAGTACTTACCCTGACTAGCCTAATAAATAGATTGATGTTTTAAGTCTCGTGCCTTAAAACACTAAAATTAAAACCATCGTGTTGTGGTTGCTGCTTGACACTTTTTTTCATTATTTCCTTGCATTTGCAAATGTTGCCAAAAGCATATACGACGAACATTAAACGTAAACAAAAACAGAGTACCTTTTGTGTGTAAACATTGTCAATAAATTACGTAACACATATCATCTAATTGGTTACATAAACATTGCGACACTGTCATCTTTCAATAATGCATCATAAACTAAACTTTTCTAAACTGTTATAGTCGTATAGAACTTTTTCGATAAAACTAAAATCGAATTAAGTTTAACCAGTGTTTATCCACTTAGAAGGAAAGAAACGGAACCACTGGCGTGTTGTCTTTTTCATTTCATAATAAATATTTTCTGATACGATTATTGTCATAATTGGCAACGTATATCGCATAAAAGGACATTAAAATTTAATCACCGTTAATATGAGAGCATTTTGTTGTAATGGCGTTTTATAAAGTTATAGAGGGTTCGAAAAAAATGCTAGGTGCTCAGTTTCTTTACTCTTAAGTAAAGTTGTTACGTGATTATAATTAATGAAAAAGGAGAAGGTTCCCTATCAATAAAATTGATAAGGCAATAGTGTAGCTACATTACAGCTGTAAAATTCAATATATTATTTACTTTTTTTAAGGTCAAGTTTTCTATGAATTATAAAATTCAATAAAAGTCGTATTTTTTTGCTTAAAATGTTTTAAGGTAAGTAGGTAGACAGGCACCTAGTACATAAAGTCTTGATGTCATGAACTGTCGATAATGATAAATGGGAGGACTAAATAACTTGACGTTTATTTATCAAGTTTTCAACATTTACATTCCAAAAATTACCCGTTTACAAAATTTTGGATCTCTGGTCGGTCACAGACAATTATGAAATTAAATAAAAAAAGTAAACAAGAGAAAGGAATGAGCAACACAATTTCAACAATAACTTTTTATAATATGGAGATACGTAGTAAAATTTAATTGAAATTGTTTTTAAGTTAGGTAATTTCGCATTGAATATTGATCTGAGCTCATTGTAAATAAGGTTGTACCTATACGTAAAATCAAATTGCTTTGTTTAAAGTTACGATATCATGATTTATTTTCTAAAGTTCAGAAACTAAAATTAATAAACGTACCAAAATAATTTCGTTTTGTGGAGTTATTAAGATAATAAAAGAAAATAGATTCAGTACCTACTCAGTTATCAGAAGTCATCAAGTGAATAAAAATCAAGCGTAACTACCTCTAGAAGAATGGTTGAACTTGAATATCAATTTGTGCATCTCTATCAACCCCTTTAAGGAATAAACGACGATATGAATGGGGAAAAAAAATCGAAATAAAAAACCATAATAGGTAACGCCTATCAAGTGTCTATGTACATGACCTGCAGAAACATTTATTAGATACATTTTTTGTTTTTGTCATCTAGCGATATTTTTTTTAAATGAAATGTCACAATATAAGGGAAGGTGCACTCACCCACAGCCAGTGTGGCGAAAACAATAGCTTTCAGCATCATTTTGTAGCACTCTGTGTAATACTAGTGGTAACGACCGATGACGATCAGACACTGAAGCTCCCGCGCCAGTTACCATTGTTATATACGCACGGTATAAGGATAATCACTCACTGATGCGACGCCCACATACCGCAATGGACTGGTACATTACTCCAGTGTTTTTGTAATATTTTATTCAGTATTCTGACCCTTTTTAGTTTTTAATTCAGTTTAAGTTTAGTTTTCATAGAAATCAAATAGATGTGCTTTCATATTACGTGTTTCTATATATTCTGTCCTAAATTCTATGTGTGTAACTCTTAAGAAGTCACTACACATCGTAGCATCGCCATCATCATATTAGCTACAAGTCGGGCTCTGCTGAAGATAGGCCTACCTCCCTCAAATTATTACGGATTTCTATAATGTTTTGAGAAAAGAAGAGGGTGTTAAACTGCAAGTCGAGATTGTTTTGAAATTCATTTTTAAATTAATTAATATTACACTGGAAATACACCTAAAATTGTAATCTTACACCGACACTAATATACCACAGATGGGGCCCAATAGGGCTGATTGTCGGTTGCCAAAGCGGAGCCGCGGAGATCTTAACGGGTTACCGGAGCTCCGGCTCGAAGTACAGGAGCAGAAACGGGGTGGTTTTTAGTCAGAAAGAGTCTGATACTCCCTCCCGTCTCACCCGGGCGGGAGAACACATTCGATGATGTTCCCCCCTTTAAAAAAACACCGACACTAACATAAACAGAACAAAAAAATCCGTCTTGTTTCCTTGGTTTGGTCACTGTGCATGTCAATAGTATGACATCGTCGTCATCATCATCATACCAGCTCATTTCTAACACTCTAATGACACGTCATCACCGTCACACACCGTCACAGTCACATCTGAATCTTCAGCGTTTCGTTGTATCAGTTGTCTTCCTCGCGCTGCGTTACACCTTAGTGTGCTGATACGTTTAAATCGACAATAAATGTTTTCATTTTACGAGATATCAGTATGTCGACTACTATCTGGATATTCACAAAATAAATAAAATAAAAGGTAAGGTAAAAAGTTTACCAGTGTAAATAATTTTCAAGTACTTTCTCAAGAATTTACTTTGGTTTGTTTGAGGTATAGGGAGTCGACCAACACAGATCACCTGCTAGTAAAAGGTAACTGTCGACTCGAATGTAAGCATGCATTCGTGAAATGACGATATTACATAATATCACAACTTTAATTTGTCGGCAGGATAAGCAGAAGTCCACACATCAACATTTCACTATATAATTACCTAATGAAATAAAAAAATAAAATCCTTTGTACGTTTTATTACTGTAGGTATACATAGAATAAATTTTATGCGTTACACTGCGTTTATATAAAAAGACGAAGTTAGAATATATGTAAAAAACTATCCTACTATATTGTACTGTCACAACCACATGCATTTTTTTCCTTAACGAGACATTTACGACACCTGGTTTGTTTATAAGTACCTAATAACTATGTAAGTCATTTATTTACTTGGTATTTTATTTATTTACAATATTACCCATGCATTGTAAGTTTGTTATTAGAATAATATACATAGGTAGGTTAACCAAATCATCATAAAGAATTAGTATAATGAATGACAGCTACTATTCTTTAGCATTTATTTATTTATTTATTAGAAAACCAACAGCGATGTATATGATATAATACAAATAAAGATATTACAGTTTAGTAAGGCTAATAATAGGTTTCCCTGCTTAACTTAATTTGTATTTACCATGCGAACGGACTTTAAACAATATTGAAAAATAAAGTTATAGCATATTTATATAAGCATACCTATTTACGTCTTTGTCCGGTGGAAACCCCCATATGTTATAAATCACTATAAAGGGACCCTTGCCAATAGGAACAATGGGTGAAACCTGTGTTAGACCCGAAATTCACAACGCGTTCGTACAACCGCCAGGTTTTTGCAGGGAAACCTTATTTCGCTGGAAATTACTTCTGTAGTTTTTAGTTTAGCTTAAAGTTTGTTTTTAAACAAATACATAACATAACATCACGCCTTTAAACTGTCAAACACCAAGCGGTCACCGGTGACCGCAACCTGTTGTTCTATAATTGTGTCTATAATGACGGTACTCGACGAGTTAATCCCCGAAGGGGTAGGCAGAGGTGCACATTATACCACTGTACAATGTAACACCCACTTTTCACTATTTATGTTATGAGTCCCATGTAATAGGGGGTGAGCCTATTGCCATATACCGGGCACAATTCCAGACTCCGTGCTACTACTGAGAATATTTAAAAGCCCAGTAATACTTGCCCGAGCCCGGAATCGAAGCCCAGACCCCTTGCCCGGCATTCGCAATTACGACCACTCGGCCAAAGAGGCAGTTAAACAAATACCTATACTCATAACTAGCTGTGCCCGCGACTTCATGATGGAATAGTGAAGATTCACAGTTCGTTTTCTATAGGTAATAGCATGATTATATGCCTATATGTTGACCCGACCTATCAGTGATATTCATGAAAAATTTAAAGTAAATCCGTGCTGTACATTTTGAGGACAAACAGAGAAAAATTGAGTGTAGATCACGCCCCGAGTGTAGATTTTTTTAAAAGATATTCAATGTACAGTTTTGAATTTCCTACCATTTTAATTAACACTTTAATAAGCATAAATCCGCGGAGAACCTAACGGGTAACCGGGGCTCCGGCTCGAAGTGCAGGGATAGGAACGGGGTGGCTTTTTGTCAGTAAGAGTCCTACACTCCCTCCCGCCTCACCCAGTCATTGAAGTCATTCGATGATTATCCCCCTTAAAAAAAATAGCGTATACATAGGTACTTACAACCTATGTCCACAGCTATCAATGAATCAACCACTCTATAGGTAAATAAATAACTTCTCAAACGAGTTCTACATAAATAGACAAAGCATCCTTATCGGTGTAAATAGTTGTAAGTAATGTTAACGTAATGATTACTTTGTCTTAAAACCGACACATAGTTGGTCATCGGCGGTTGGTCGTAGTTTTAGGACTATCTATCATTCAACTCGGTATACTTTAATTATTTAATTATTACGGTACGCATGCTCTAAAACAGCATCATAATAGGCGTTCTATTTGGCATAAAATGTTCAAAAATCGAATGCCTATCGATTCCTAAGCAAGCCCGAAATGAACATGCCAATTTTGAGCAACATTCCACCACAGATGAACGAAGAATCGTAGCAATTGGTGTTCCATAGTCTCTGCCTAACCTCATGGGAGACAGGCGTGAAGTTATGTATGTATTTCCACACAATGCTTTTTAGAGACAAGAGTTCAATTGAATCATGCTTTCGTGATTAAAATTAGCTTGTGCAACGCTACCTTTAATATTGCGCCCAACTTAGATAGAAATTGGTAATCTGTATTGTTCCACAGTCTCCGCTTCATGAAGCAAATTAGAATTATTACAATATTGCACTTGTTTTGAAAGTGAGTTTGTTTTGACTTGCGTGGGCTTAGCTGCAATTAATTAGGTACTATAAGTATATTGATATTAAGTAAAGGAATTAACTACGTGTATTATTACCATTCTTGTATCGGCACATGCTTATATTGATAATTAACATCAAAATTAAAAGTTGTTATGATTGGATTTTTTATGAAATTAGAGGTAAACGAGCAGACGGATCACCTGGTGGTAAGCAATCAGCACCGCCCATGCACCTATTATTGGGCACACATTATTTCGGGGCTCTTTTTTAGAACGTTTCTTTCCTTTAAACTTTGCCCCGCACTAGGATTTTCTCCTGTATTGTGGCTGCATTTACAAACATACATAAGACACCTAGACCCGAAACAACAATCTGTGGATCACACAAAGAGTTGCTCCGTGCGGACTTTGAACCCACTACACGTTGCCGTGCAACGTAGTTGTAGACACGGGCACAGCCCCCGTCCCCCGTGTGCCCTTATAGTAAATACGATACTGCCCGCAACACCAGAGAAAAAACAAGTGCATCGCCGGCCTTTTAAAAAAAGGTTTGATGGTCTTATCGGTTCGAAAAAACCGCCAAGGTGCAGGAAAAGTTTAATATTCAAGTGTTTTGTTTTATTATTTAGAATGTAAGCATCTAACTTTTCAAATAAAACTAGTTCATTCGTGCATTAAGAAACAATAGTTATTTATTCAATTAAAGTAAAATAACAAAAGAGATATCTTGCCATTTAACCGTGAACCTCTTATCTTCCTGGTGGTAAGAAAAAGCGATTATATTTTATTACGTACTAGCTTTTGTCCGCGACTTCGTCAGCGTAGAATATGAACTTTATGACCTAACAATTATTTTGCTTAAATTTTCCACAATAAAAGTAGCCTGTATTACTCTGTAGTACATTAGCTACCTTCCAATAAAAATCCTGTCAAAATTGGTCCAGCCATTACAGAGCCCGTACAAGCAGACAGACGGACAGACAAACATTTTTCAAAATTTGATTTTGGTATGTGTATCGTATGTATAGATTGTGTAATCGGAATATTTGCTAAAACTAAGTTTTGACAATCATATTATAGTTACAAAAGGATGATTTGAACTTTGACTTTTTATTGTTTTCTATTGTTGTTGTGCCACACATCTTTGAATTCCGATAAACAACATGTTTTTACCCTCTGTTATCGTCTTTTATCAGTTTTAAGAATATTAAGCAGCCTGGAAGTAAGAAATTCAGGAAAACGAATAATAAAAATAAAGTACAGTAATCAATTTCTGGTATCAGCAGGTTTGTGTTTTTAAAACGTATAAAAAAACAAGTACGATGTAACAATTGTTTACTTCGCAGTATTCAAAAAGTTTAGTACCTAGATACAAAAATGTTAGTTACTTTGACTTTTTTATAATTGCCATACCCTATAATAATTTAATTTAAGAAACTGTAAAAATGTAAACTGACGTCAAATAAAAAATAAATATACTAGGTTTTTTTTGAGGGGTGAAAATCAACCAATGACTTCTCTCGCCCGGGTGAGGCGAGAGGGAGTGTCAGTCTTACTGACTAAAAACCACAACGTTCCTACTTCTGCACTTTTAGCCGGAGTCCCGGCAACCTGTTAAGTCCTCTGCGCCTCAGTATGGGTATCAGCCCTATTAGGCCGCATCTGTGGTGGTAAATATACTAGGTATAACATGTCATATCACATTATCACTTATGTTGCTGTTAAAAACTTCCAAACTCTTGTTGTATCATATATGTTACATAACGCATAAAAATTAATGATTTATTATTACTTTTTACTGTCAATTTAGACACTCGTTCAAATGATAACCAACGTTGACGAACTTCTGATAAAATTGAGATACCTACAGAGGTCAATGACCGGAACGACTTGAGATATTATTAATGAAAGCTATCAAATCAATTACTTATTAAGTTAAACACAAGATTTCAACAAATCAATGCTTATATTTAGTCCACCTTTCGACAAGATATTCCGAAATTTTTATATATAAGAAAAATAGATTAATGAAAATATAGAAGTAACAATACGGAAATACAAATGTTAAATGAAAACTAACTTCTCATAATTTACTCATGTGTTTTGCTAAGCGCAGATAAGCAGAGAAGTCACTAAGGATCATTATAGGGAAGCTACCTGTAGGTAAGGTAAGGTCCGGTAAGGTTACCGGAGGCCCAATTACCCTCCCCTTCCACTTAGGCACTTGTCTCTGATGTTCAAGGTGTCCATGGGCGACGCCGATTGCTTACCATCACCTGATGGTAAGCAATCCGTTTACCGGTTTACGCCATAAAAAACAAATTACAACCAATATTTAATCACCTCTCACTCGTAGGCACTTGAATAAGAAAATGTAGTAGGTTATCAATAAATACGTAATATTCTTAGTAAGTACTTCAATATTGTGTATTTGTGTAGTTAGGTGTGTACCATTAGGTGTCCTGTCTTGTTAGGTAAGTATCGGAATGATGCTTACGCATTCTGCGATACTGCATATCTGTCATTTTACAAAGAGTTAAGTGACAGTAATTTACTTAAACGCGTCTTAAAATTCAGTGGTGTTTAAGTATTTGTACATTAGTTCAAATAAATTGAAGGTAGGATTTTTAAATTCCCAGTTAAACATCTGATGAATGGTGTACATTGTGTAATTATCCTTCGATGATCAGTAATAACCTGTCTTAACCAATATGAATTACCATTACAACCTGTGTTTTTATCAACTTTCATTACAAAATAGGTCTTAGGACCATTTAGGTGAAGTTCACTCTAGGCTAATAGTTTTTGTCACAAATGATGTAGAGCAGTGATTCGTGGGTGGAGAGGAAACCAACGATTGTCCTTTACTCTTAGTCACTTCATTATCATCATTAGGAATTATCAAGTTCCCTGTAATTGCGGTGACCTTTACCAGCCGCAATTTCTAGGATTGGGAGTTAGATTTTATCTTCTGTAAATTAGGTATAGCTTATAGAAGCACCGTATTATTATTTGTTTTTCAAATCTGTTCTAAAATATCGTATAATTAAATTTAATTCGACATTTTTCCATATTATGAAATGTGTAATTTAAGTCGTTGTAGCAATTTGATCAGATATTGTGAAATAGGAGAAGGTACAATGGCCGGCTGATCAAGCTACTCCAATCTGTAAAATTTATTCATTGGATCTATGACTTTATGTCAATACAATAAAGTGGACAATGTAACAGATTTAACAGAAAAGGATAGTTTGCCTTGCTAGCCACAAAGCCTATATTTTGTCACTTTATAACATTGGGTAATTCGGTGGTAATGCATGACGGATGCCTCACATCGCCCAGAAACGTAGCTACGTTTGTCATACTTGACCTTAGCTCGTACTCCCTGATAAACTGCTGTGAGGTTATCAAAACATCTGACTCAGTCGTCGATAACATGTCGAAGCTAGGAAAATTTTATAACACAACTCTTTTGTATGTTAGAAACGATTGCATTATTATCAATTATTCTACTACTGATTAGATATAATATTGTTTGTTTATTAATTTAATTATTTACTACATTTTTTTTTATAATTTTTATGGCATAAGCTGGTAAACGAGCAGACAGATCACCTGATGGTATGCAATCGCCGTCGCCCATGGACACCTGGAACACCAAGGAAGGCGTTACAAGTGCGTTACCGGCCTTTTGACATTTTATTGTTGTTATTGATATTCGTCATCGTCTCATCTGCCTACTAAATGTGAGAATTATGTCAAACTCTCTTTTGTACAGGAGGACGTTCCTGGTCCAGTATCTGAGTAGATAAGTACTTAGTTGACTTTGAAGCGCTGTTGATTATGACCACGATAAAAGTTAATTATGTATGTACCTAGGTGTTTAAATATTAAAATAATATTTTAAAACATTATAATGATTACTGTCTCATTGGCCGAGCAGCTGCATACGCGACTTCGGGTTTAATTCCAGGGTCGGGCAATTAAACAGGGTTTTAATAAAATTCTCAGTAGTAGCACGGACTCTGGAAATGTGCCAGGTATATGGCAATAGGCTCACCCCCTATGACATGGAACTCATAAACATAAATAGTGAAAAATGGGTGCTACATGGTACAGTGGCATTAAATGCCGTAACGTGCACCTATGTCTACCCCTTCGGGGATAAAAGGCCTAATATTATGCTAATGTTTATAATTGTCATTTGAAAATACCTACACGCAAGAGAAAAAGGCTCTCGTTCATATAAAAAACAACATGCTTCCCCTATACTTATTATACTCTTTGCAACATGCTATTTATTTCCTGAAGGGAACGTTAGCTCTTCAGTTGCATCAGGAGCTGCTAAGTATTTCCTAGTGTAAGTTTATTTTAATATTAGTATCATTCATATATTATGTAAATATTAGAATTGTTAAACTTTTAAGTAGGGAAATTAAAATAAAACAAAACAAAGTTGTTCTATTTTTTATTTTAAATACTTTATGAATATTAGTGGCAAGTTGCGGAACTCTACTGACTGAATATGATTACAATATCATGCATTTTGCGTCCAAACTGCACAGACAAACATTTAATTATATGTAATGTATTATTTTGATACTTATATTCATTCAAACGGCTTCGTGCTTGGCTAATATAGGCGGGGGACTCGGGACCATAACTTAGAAAATACTAATTTACATATTCTTGGTACAAATAGATAACTGTTGTGAAACATTGATATGATATCCATTTTGATTTGTCATATATATGTATATGTATACGCAGAGCTTATATTATATTGCAAAGCAATCTTTATAATTAGGTATTAAAACTGCTTGCCTTCTTGACAAGCGACAAACAAGACGTTGATTAAAGCATTGTAATTGAAAGAGATACTTTTGAAATACTTTTTTTTTCTGTGCTATATTTCTGTTTCTAGAAAGTTCTTGTAATAAGACAGTTAATGCACAATGCTTTCAATCAACATCGTGTATCTAAACATCATAATTATCTCGTATTCATTAATATATAACATTATATAGACATTACTTTAGGTTTACAATAAACCATTTATCAAGTCTCATCCATTTATATAGTAGATATTGTTCAAAACAATGCGAAATACAAATTAATTTTGTCCAACGTAAAATCGTCAACTAACATCTACCACAACGTTTAGTAAAACATCCAAGTTCTTGTCACACAAGATTTTGATTGTTACAATAAAATCACAGGTAAGTACTTTATCACTAAATACATATATAAATATATATATATTAACTGCTATTATTCTCTTTAAGAGAACGAAAGTTTCAGCCCTTCTAAGAGCTTCAAAATTCTAACACACAATTATGAGATCCAGTATACAATACAATACAATACAATACAAAAACATATAAAGGAAGAAAATTAATATACAATTACAAAGCAACGTAAAGTTTACGACATTAATAAAGTCTTAGGCGGTAAAGTTATATATAAACTCGATTATTTTTGTATTTCAATTTCTTCGACATCGTCAATCCAAATTTCCAAAGCATGAAGCTTTGGTCTCATCGAGATTTTCCTCTACTTTCTCAGGTCTCGTAGTTATACACGTATAATAGTAATATAACTATTTATATAAGTAGTTTTAACATTTATAAGATTTAATATATAGGGGTATATGATCGAAAATTCTTATAGCTCCCCTATTTTAATTTGTCATAGTTTGTTATGTACATCAATAGTCCTTACATTGCAGGATTTTCGTCATTCGTCTAGCCATGTTTCATATATAGAATCCATATTGTCAAACCAGTAAAATGAACCATCAGATAAACCAATCGAGTCCATTTTCTCCACAAAAGTGTGGAATTACCATCCCTATTTCTACAAGAGTACAGTCAGTTGCAAAAGTAATAAAATCTTAACCATCTAATAAAAAGAACAGCAAGTTCAGCTACAATATCGAAGTATGTCACTTTTGCAACTAATTGTACGAAACATCAATATTGTTATAATCATAATTACATGTATAAATTATATGAAATATTAAAACATTAACGTGTTTATATGAATTTATAATATAGTTTCTTATAGGTAGGCTGCTTGTACTTTGCTTTAGAACCCGTACTTATTTTATGGTCAATTGTATTGAAAATCAGTGTGATGACTTTGTTACAGTTACGAGTCGAAAGTCAAGTGTAGGGCAGTGAAGAGTCAAGAGTTACAATGTTACCTTTTTTATATCTTTGTAATATTTCTACTCGTACCAGCACTACAGCAATTTCTATGAATTATACATACAGTAGGCAACCTACTCTTTTCTGTCGAATTCCTTTATTAGATTTTCAACTTTATCGCTTAGGTACGAAGTCAAAAATCCAATGCCAAAAATTAACGCATTGGAGTAGGTAATATATTGGGGTATTTGCATAGTTAATAACCCATAGGGTAACAAGCCCCTAAACACTTATAAATGAATGTTTTTTTTCATGAACTGTAAATATTTTGAACAATGCTTAACATATTTTGATCTGCTAATTTAATACTATTTACAACCACAAAATTGTATAGAATGACAATATTTGGCACTATACAATTTGATACATAGAAAACTAAAGATAAACCGCTGCAATTTGCAATGGAAATTTTGTATTTTTCCCAAAAGACATTGGGGCATGATTGATTATATAAATATATAATGGTAGGTACATAAATTATTCTATTTCGGAAGCACTAGATTTTACGACGCCATATTTAATTATACAATAACGGTTTTACATTCGAATCATTGAGTATTTTAAATTATAAGGTATATTGCGTAAAGTAGTAAACGATCATGTCTACTGTTGTCTAATCTGTACACTATATTTTATTTAAGTTTGTGAGAAATGAACACCAATAACATCGAGACAGCTGCAAAATACTTATTTTTATAATCATCATATTTATAAAACATGAAACAGTCTATAAGTGACAACCATATACGACTTAGGGCTGTCGCGTGTGCTTAATATTGAAGCGGGAAGATCGAGGCCTTTAAATACAATTTTGAGCCTTAATGCTACTACATATTATGGTTTAGTTTGGAGTTTTGTTGTTGGAATGTGTTTTCTGTTTGTTTATGAGTGCGTTGATGAGTTTAATCCTGGCCTTGACAGACCTGTACTTGCAATATTCATCCTCGTGACCTTTCTTGTCGTCTCTCTGCGCTTTCCTGCTGTTCTGGAGTTCGAAGCTCACCTCGTAGTCTTTAATGGTGCGGCGTAAGATCTAAAATTATAAAACAGATTAAAACTACAGATGAGATACCTATGAAATGAGCCCTACTTGGGTTTAGTTATTTTACATGGGTTTAGGGTGTAGATAGTTTTATTTATGCGTGAAAGCGTTCATGTCTCTAACCGTGTATAGACTAACTGTAAACCCTTATCCAGACTTATGTGGAGACACTTCCACGTTCTATTAAATTCAACTTTAAACCTGAAATTTAAATTATTTTTGTCATGAACATTCCTGTTCATTTCGTAATTTTGTAAAGCAATGATAAATTAGACTTACAGATTTCTGCATCTTAGCCTCAGTGAGAGCTTTGTTTAGTTCATCAACGCTGAGACAATGGAGTCCCTCGTTCGAAGGTGTGGCTTCTTCGCTGGTAGCAGACTGAGCTGATGATGTGGAGGACGGGACCTCTTCTCCTGGTGCAGCACCATCACGATTGGGTGGTGACTGGAGAGGAGTCTCTGTTGTCTCCTGGAAAATGATAGTAACAGAGATTTAAAGGATGTATATTTAAATCAGCTATGTGAAAAATGCTCACTAAGGCAATATTAACCACTGCTTAGGGTTTCAGGTCGGTCTAATTTATTCACTTATTCTTAAGTTACCTATCAGGCAGAAAAATAACAGATTTCAAACCAGTGCATTTTGCTTGCTGAGCTAAAAACCAGTTTTGTTTTCTGGTTCGAGATTTTTAAAGATACAGTAGTCGTGACTGCAATCTTATGGTTACCTGTGAAGAATCTGATGGCTTCTCCTGTGAGTCACTGGAGCTGTCGACGCTGGAGTTGAACAGCATGGTCTCATGCTCGTGAATAGTTGCCAATTCACCGTTAACGCAGCCTATGATCTGAATTAAATAATTAAAATTACAGAAACCATATGAATATATGCTAGATTCTAGTTGACTACACATTTAAAGCAGTATGAAATGAATGATCTATCTTATCTTCCTTTTGTTTTCACTAAAATAACTTATCATAAAAACCTTTTCTTCGAGTCTCTCACTGTATTTTAATGACTGTATGTTTAAGTATTACACAGCTTTGTCAGATATTTTAACAGCTGGGCATACAGAACACGTAATCATTCAGCAAGTCATAGAAGTACTTACTTACATTTTACTTTACTACATGCTGATAAAAGATAGAAGCGACTATAAATCTTACAGCGTCAGGCCTAGAGGACGCGAGCACTCTTTTGACGGTTCTGTAGCGCTCGTAGAGGTGTCGAGCTGCGCCGCGCTCGGCGGAGTGCGCAGGGGGCCGACCTCGGGCCGCCTCGAGCCGCAGCAGCACTCGCTGCACGCACAGCTTCTCAGCCGCCAACTGCGCCGCCGTCCAGCTCCCCTCGCCCACCGACGACCGGCCTGCCGCCTGGCGACAGCCCTCTAACCACTGGAGAAAGGCCCACAATAAATCCGAGCAGACACCTACCTGACCGTCCAATCCAATGTCATCCAGTTACGCAAATAATTTGGAAAAATCGATTATTAAATGCCAATCATAATAATTTATTTATTTATCGTGACTAAGAAATGATCACAAAGATTTCTAAAAATTATGGACGACAATCAACAGAAAATCTTTAGCCTTAAAACTGTTAATGATTGCTATACTTTACCCTGAATCGCTAGATGAATTACTATCGGCGCTAAGCAATGAATGGATTTAAGGAATTTACCTCTTCGATATCTTTTACGATATCAGCCATAGGTTTATCACTCTTGAGCGACTCTTCAAGTTTGTCGTCTCTTTCTTTCTGCTGTTTAGCTGCTTGTACCTTCAACGCATACTCCACGGGATCAGTCTTGATGAGACGTTTCTCAGCCTGAAGTCTGCGTAACGTCTCGTTCATTCGCGTCAACGCCACATCTGTTATCCTGTCACTCTGAGTCAAAGGATGGCCATTCTTGGATTCAAAATCATTTTCATACTTGGTGATGTTTTTCTTGAGTACAGAAATCTGAAAATTTTAAAGTTATGCTCTATCATGGAACTTTTTACACTTTCGTAAACAATTTTGTTTAGTTGACAAATGGTTTCATTTTAAGTACAATACAAACATACCTTCTTAGTGATCTTTTCAAGCTGTCGGTCAGGCACAGGCGGTTCACGTCGTGCGACGTTAAGTGGGGCTGCGCTCCTCTCATCGCTGCGGGCTCGCTCGGCCTCCGCACATAGAGCTGCGCCCTCCTCAACGGCACTCTCTGTGCGACCTGCCACTCGATGCAGCGCTCCAGCGTCCAGAGTCTCCGGTTCCTCGCATACTGCAACAATCTTCTACCTGAACCCACTGCTTGTTCGCGTACAATGACTGTTGACATATAAGTTACCGGGGCTATAGAAGCAAGAGTTGCTCCTTTGACCTTCATTAAAACCGGCTTACCTGGTCCACTTTTGATTTTTTGATAAATATATAACACCACAAAAGTTCAACTTACCAATGTAAGCTTAAGGTTATGGCATCTGTGGTGTAGTTTCTGTAAAACTTGACACTTCAACAGATATAGGCATTTGAAGCCTTCTATGGTGGCAGCAGCACTTATTGGGTGCCATTTCTATCTTGTATCAAAATACTTACGTTGTGGTTTCTGCACAATAACATAATCGAAGTGAGGCGGTGTGCTGCATCGGATCTCTTCAGATGTAGTGAAGCATTCGTTCTCCTTAGGATGTTTGGAGACCCTGGTAGGTGGACGACGTCGCTTGCCACCGAACTGTGGGCGACGGGCGCGGGACAGCCGCTCAGCACGACGTTCTGACTGCGAGGCAAATAGGATTGTGGATATTATATTTAGGAAGATCATCCAAATATGTTTCTGTAACAGTACGACTGTGAATTTTTAAGGTAAGTCTTGAATTCATGAACTCCTTACCTCGATTCGGTTATGGTCGTGGAGCGGCGGCGGCGGCGGCGGGGGCGGCGTGCGCTCCTCGCTGTGCGGGCGGCGCTCCTTGCGCTCGTGCGCGCACCCCGAGTCGCGGCGCTCGCGTCTCTTCCTGGCCTCTCGCTCGCACTCGGGCGCCGCCATGTCTTCAGTCCTCTCGCGCTCTCGTTCCGAGCACTGCGCACGCCAGCCGAGCCCAGATATTACTACCCGATGCTCGCTCGAGCGCTCACTTTCCTGTCCGTACCCCTAACGTATATGGATGAGTTAATGTCAGTGTAATGTGCGGAAAAATGTCAATTCTTAGTGTCAAGAAACAAGGTTGATTCTGGAGTGGTGGGTTAAGCTGATGTTTGCGATTCATATCGAATAGTGAGGAGAATGATTTGTGTAGATCATGTATGATACAGAGAATTGTATAGATATATACGTAGGTACATATTAAGTAAGGATATCTTTGCTTAAAGCTATGTATATCTAATACTATCAAGGGTCACGGGTTATTGTAAGCGTTGGTCTTCTACTACTCGGCTGTCACCTACACAATGTACACGGGTCAGTTTGGGCAAGCAACTCAAATACTTGTAGGCAACTACTACTTAGTTGTTAGTTAACTAACCGTTAATATTGGCATATAATATACATATTAGTATTCCCAGAGTACCCATGTAATTACGTATATATTGCAAAGCGTATATGTATAGGTATAAGCTAAAATTTTATATTTATAAAACGAGAAACTATTATATTGTTAAAATCACTAAATGATATGTGAAGCCCCAGTATCTAATTTTTCAGAAATACCTGTAGAATTTCCAATTGTACCATTTTCGCTAACTCGGAAAATAATTCCCAATTTCCAAAAGTTTTCAGCCGTTAATGGGACGATTCTGAAATTAAACCATGTTTTGCACTAACGCAACTGAACGCATCTAAAAAAAAGCTTCATCGTCTATGGCTCAAACAAAAACCTTCATAGATGCGACCTAACAAACTTCCCTTGTAATAAGTTGTATTTAGATTAACATAATTTATTTAACTTAATAACATTACATTAACATACTCACAATGCAGTATCTGGCAGCACCAACTATGGAATCCAAGATCCTGGATATGTTTTCTCTGGTACGGCTGGCCAGGGTCGCACTGAGGCCCGCTTTTGGGCGATACCCCAACCAATGATCCACAACCAAACACTAAACCACCGGGCTATTGCTTATCCTTTGATGTAAAACAAATTGAAAGAAATAAAACGAAACGGCAGAGCGAAAACGCGCGCCGTTTTGACGGGAAACTTGACACTTGACTATAGACACGTTAGTCTGTGGCGAACTTCGTAAACTTATTTGATGATGTCACTTCTCTGCTCAGACATGTCCCGATCACGACACATATTGGCACGGCACACACAGTCAATAGAAAGGTCGGCGTTTAACGATTTACGGCTGCTTCAAAAAATGCGTTGATACCAGTCTGTAATTTAGCATTGATGGTCCGAATGTGTATGGGAGAGCTGTTTAGCCCTAAATCGCTTAGTGCGACGTATTCATATCAGCAACGTCCGAAGTGAATGTCGAGATTGTGGTTGGTTCACTCTACCGGAGGAGAGCGAATTGTCAATTGTCTTCTATCATCTTAAAGTTCATATTCAAACACTTCACAAAGTTATTGAGATGAGTTGGTAGGTTGGTTGACGGCAGTTTGAATCTGTAACGATAAGAGAGAATTTTTAATGAGATGGCAGTGAGCCAAGAAATGTACCACGGGGTTACGAGTATTACAATACAAAACTAGTAACAAAACTAGCGAGGATCTGATTATGTGTTTCAAATTCAACGCTTGTAATGTGGTGAATTTGTAAACAAGTCGAAAGCCCTTAGATACGCGCCTACACTTACACTTTAATAAATATTTAATGAACGCAGTAATTTTACTACGCGACGTCTAAATGGTTAAGCTCGTGTAATTACCTTGGTGATTAATATTGACATTTGTGTGTATAGTTTCACATAATGACGGTAATAAATGAAATAATACTAACTAATACATTTCACATACCTACTTAACACAAAAAACGACCGCGAGACTAGCATAACTTGCTTTTATTCTTTTTCCAGTAAAAGTAAGTAAGTAGTAAAAGACGGAACTATTTGTGATAGATGATATTTTAAGAATTAAACTTTAATTAAATTTCTACATAGTAAAGCAAGATAAAACAACATACATCAAATCCTCCTTTAATAGCAAATGACAGAACTATTCTTGGGCGTAATTAGCTAATCACAACCACACATATCAACCCCTAAATGCTATAGATAGGTAACTAATATAGGCGGCAAAGTGAACTGTGACGTCACAATGCCACAGGCTAGATAAATGTATACCAGTTTTTTTTTTTTTTTTTAAGGGGGGAAAATCATCGAATGACTGCCCCCGCCTGGGTGAGGCGGGAGGGAGTGTCAGACTCTTACTGACTAAAAACCACCCCGTTCCTTCTCCTGCACGTCGAGCCGGAGCCCCGGTTACCCGTTAGGTTCTCCGCGACTCCGAATCGGCGTCGGCCCTATTGGGCCCCATCTGTGGTGGTCTGATGGCTCTTTGAGGCGCGCGCGGAACGCGACGCGCCGTACGCTCGGGTCTGTTTCTGATCGGACGGGGAGCCACCCATGCTCGCCGTCCGCAGGCCCGCGCTTACGGTGGCCGGAGATCGTCCCGCGATCCCCGACGCCCGGTGTGTCCTTCGCGATGGCTGGGTTGCGAGGAGGCAGCGCTTCGCTGCCTCACGCATCCCGCCTCCTCCTTAGCTAGCATGACTGCTTCGCAAAAGGAGGAGACGGCATCCCAGTCCCCCTCGCTCCGCATCATGGCCCGCACTAGGCCTGGAAAATGTATACCAGTACTGTATGTAAACCGTCACTTTCACAGTAATTGACTTACAAATTATGTTTGCTGTGGGAGTGGTGAATATATTAGTCTGATAGTAGACTGATGGAGTGAGGTCGATGGTAGGCTTACGTCAATTTTTGTTTTGGGAGTTTGAGCCGTTTAGTATGGTAATAGGGTTTTATATTAAAAGTTAGTACCTTTAAAAATATATTCTGTTTTTAAAACAATTTGTACAGTTTTAAATTGAAAATACAGTACGTTTTACTGTCGTCAATTTTTTTTGCAAATAATTACGTTATTTAACCAATGAAATCATTTTGTTTAATATGTCCATTATCTATAAACAATAACGCCCCACCGTTTTGTGGGGCTTAAATTATAACATACTTCCCTGTGTAATTTATAGATAAATAAATAATAAAAATAATAATAACTTAATATTATTATTATGTTATTATTATACCACGAGTAGCAGCGCGCTAGTGGCCGCGTCGCGGAATGCTGCTCTGTGAATGAATATGAGCCTCTAGCATGGCTTGAAACTAGTCGAGGTCCTCGTCAAACATTTACGTGAGTGAGCCGAAAACATAATAATTAATTCTTTTCAACTTCAAAAACCAAACCAATTTAAGTAAGTACAACTACCACAAAAACGAATAAACTACACGCTCTGTTACATAACCAGCTAAATTGGCAATCTAGGAATTGGTTCCAAAATTAATTATTACAGTACCAGCCGTCATAGTCGATGTGTTATTTCAGTTCCGACTCTAGTTCCCTTATTGATTATTCAGGTGGCCAATCATGTAGCCGGCTGAAATCGCCCACGTGGCAATCTAGTCCCTAAAATTAAATACAGCTATGCCACTTGACAACGGGAACTGTGAAGTGAAGTCACTCGGATTGAAGATTTGTCGCCATTGTGTTAAGTGTCCAGATGACTCGTCAAGTACTGCGATAAAATTTCTTTTGTTTCCATCTTTTGGAGAATATTCTTTCTGACTCCATTTCAGTGAAATGAACTCAACCTTAATTTTAACCTACTTAAAAAGTCAATATTAAATATTGACAATTTCACTGACTCGTTGGCCGAGTGGTCGCAAATGCGACTGCCGGGCAAGGGGCCTGGGATTCGATTCCCGGGTCGGGCAAAGTATGTCTAACTTTTTATAAATATATCTCAGTAGTAGCACGACGTCTGGAATTGTATCCGGTATATGCGAATAGGCACACCCCCTATTATCTGGGACTCATAACATAAATAGTGAAAAGTGGGTGTTACATTGTACAGTGCCGTAATGTGCACCTCTGCCTACCCCTTCGGGGATAAAAGGTGTGGTGTTGTGTTATAAATATTGACAATAGCTTGCCGTATGACGATGCAGAGGTGTCATGTAACACTGCTACTATATCTGGCCGAAGATTATGAACACCCACTACCTTTCCTAAGGTTTATTAATTGTCTAAGTTTGTTTATTTAAGACCACAAAACAATAATGTATCACTTTACCTAATCATTCCGATTTCATATTTCTATTTTTTCTCGGAGTTAATAACACGGTAAAGACAAAACAATTGCAACCCACACATAGAAAACATGTATCAAGTTATTGTTTAGAAACAGCTAATTAGCGATATAGAATTACTTGCTAAAGGGAGAAAGTAATCTGATTGAAATAAGGAATATATTTATAATTCTGCTGCGTTGGTCGAGTGATCGCAAGTGGGACTGCCGGGCAAGGTCGGGCAAAACATTATTGGGGTTTTTCGAAAAATCTCAGTAGTCGGAGTCTGAAATCGTGCCCGGTATATTGCAATAGGCTTACCCCTTATTACATGGGACTTATAACATAGTGAAAAGTGGGTGTTACATTGTAGAGGTACAGTGGCATTAAGTACCGTAATGTGGACCTGTAATTGGGCCTCTGGTAATCTCACTCACTACACCACGAAACACAACGCAAGCGTTACTTCACGTCGGTTGACGGTTTTCTGTGAGGCCGTGGTATCACTCCGGTCGAGCCGGCTCATTCGTTCGTACCGAAGCATGGCTCTCCCACACTTATGAAGTCTTAGATACACTTGTATCATTGTGCTTAGTAGTGGGTTTTGTATCCCCTGTACTACTAAGGTAAAATAAAACAGTATGTCTGTTATATTTATCTTCAAATGGTGTTGAAAACAGATAACATCACTCTGTATAATCGGTCACCGTGGGGAGCATTGTGTGTGACGTCAATTGCTTTGCCTTAGTACAATGACATTGACACATTATGTTACTGGCACTGTTTTATTCGACCCTAAGGTGTGATGGATATTCTATAGCTTTAAACCTTAATCTAATGAAAATTCTAAGAGATCAGCTAAGATAATGAAAATACATAACTAAAACAATTCTATAATATCACTAGTATTTGTATCTGTTATAATAAAACTGTCACAATATTAACTGTTACTAAATATCGTTCCTAGACTACAGACAACACATATTGTAACAAATTCTGTATTCAATACTAGTACTTAGTATGAATAAAAACGACTTATTGTCCCCCATTTATCCTTTCAGTCACGCAAACCATTCGAACTGAGATAAACGTAACATTTATAAAATGTTACATAAAATATCGTAGAGGGTGAACTACGGCGTAGCTCGTAGTACCACCGCGTAGCGGTTACGGGCTACGAAGTGAAAATATGTGAAGCAGTGCCGAAAATATGCTTATGTAGCGTTGTCTGGGGTTATATTAAACCTACCTAAGGGCTGTAGAGACAAGGAATTTTATGATATAGGACTAGGAACTTTAGTACCATGTAACAAAGTTTACTTTGGTTTTAAACTGACTACGATTTTGCCTTTGGCGAGAAAGGTCCTTTTAGTTCACTATTTTCGTTGCCAAAAGTTTGTTTGTTATTAGACGGATGTTATTTCATAGTCTATTTGCCAAGGAAAATTAGGAAAAATCATACCTACGGCGTAGCGGTTACGTATAACAAAAACAAAAAAAATATAAGTAAGTAATAAATGTGGTTATTTGCATTGCATAAACATATAAGTTTCGTAAAAAATATATTTTTACACAATAAATGAGAAATAGACGTCCTTGAACGCGGAGTAATATTTATAAGTTAAAAATACCTCACAACGAATCTAAGCTCATAGAGGACTAATGACTATCTGACAAGAACAGGCATAACTTTTAGATAATTGCGTAAATAAAATACGATTGGCCCACGTAATAAAAAAGTATATTAATTAGCTTAACCAAGTGTGTGATTGTCCTAAGGAATGAAAAAGTACATTCGCTTAATATGTAACCCCAAATAGTTAGGTGGCGACAGCGCAACAAATTCACTAAAACTTCATTTCTGTGAAATTGTTAGTGTTAGTTAAAGTAAATCATAAAACCTATAAAAGAAGCTATTTCACTGTTCGGCTTCCAAACAATCCACTTTGATAACAACGTTACTCGTAATAATTACAGTTCATTGTTTTAGCAACAAACACAAAACCTGACCCAATTTTCTTTGTTTGTTTGCGACTGTGGGCGAGATATTTCGTTACGCCAATAACTTTCGATCGATTTATCTTAAAATAAAGTTGCGAAGTTAACTGTATTATGGTGTTCCAATAAAATAAATAACGTAATAACGTTGGAGACAATTTGTTACGTAACGTTGTATAACACGAATATATTATAGTAGTAAGTGTAGGAGAGCCATGCTTCGGCACGAATGGGCCGGCTCGACCGGAGTGATACCACGACCTCACAGAAATCCTATTTATTTATTATTACAAACGCTTGCGTTGTGTTTAGTCTCAC